CTGGAGTTCCAGGAGGTTGTCAACGGCTGGTCATGAGTGCTGGGAAACCAATTCCAGTCCTCTGAAGGCACAAGATGCTCTCCAGCTGTTCTTGTTTACTAGCAAAGAACCTTGTCTCTTCCAAAGCCTCTAATAAAACAAGATATCTGGGTTTCTGCTCCTATGGAGATCATGGGTACTATTTCCCACTTGTTTCTATTAGGCATAGAGTAAAACCCTGTCCATTTGTATCTAAAACATACCTGAGAAGAAATGAAAATGTAGGGAGAAGAAAGCTGACCAACTAAGAACTTCAGGAGAGAAAAATGGTGGTCTCTGGGTTACACATGACCCACAAAGGGAGAAGAAGAATCTGGAAACCCAGAAACACAAATATGTAGATTTTGTTTTAAGGGTGAGGTGCCTGGCAGTAACTTAGCGGTTAAAAGCACTTGCTGCTCTCTGAAAGACCCAGGTTCTGTTCACAGCACCCACATGGCAACTCACAACCTCACTCCAGATTCAGGGGATCTGATGGCCTCTTCTGGCATCCTTAGGGTGTACATAATTGCAGGCAAACACTCTTATACATAAAATTAAAAAATAATCCTTTAAATGGGAGTAGTGGGGCTATGGAGGTAGGTCCGTTGATATGTTTGTCTAGTATGCATGAAGCCCTGGGCTTCATCACCAGCACTGCATAAAAACAAGGCATTGTTGCCGGGTGGTGGTGATGCCCTTCTTTAATTCCAGCACTGGGGAGGCAGAGGCAGGCGCATCTCTATGACTTTGAGAACAGCCTGGTCTACAGAATGAATTCCAGGACAGCCAAGGTTACATACAGAAAACCTGTCTCAAAAACCAACCAACCAACCAAACACAAAGAACCAGAGTGTTCTAGTGAATGCCTGCACTCTCAGCACTTGAAGGCAGAGGCAAGAGGATCAGAAGTCAAGGTCATTCTTGGCTCCATATTGCATATGAGACCAAAATGGACTAAATGAGACCTTATCTCAACAACAGCAACAACAAAAGCAGCAATAAACAAGCTTGAAACAAATGAAAAATAGTAGAGTCTCAGAAAGAAACAGAAGCTATAAAAAGGAACCACAATGAAGTCTTAGAATTTACAAATATGAAAAACAAGATAACAGAAATGAAAACATCTCAAAGGCGAGACTCAACAGGCAAACGGGGAGGACGAGGAAGCGTTGGTGAGCAGTGAGTCAGGCTGATGGCACGATCTGGACAATAAGGACAAAGTAGAAAAAGTGACCAGACTCCATGCTGCTCTTGTAGCATGATTAGAGCAGATTAGGTTCCCAGAATCCACATGGTGGTTCACACCCATGCACAACACCATGTTAGAAGATCTAACACCATCTTCTGACCTCCATAGGTACCAGGCATTCACATGGTATACACACATACATGCAAGCAGAAGACTCAAATGTACACAACAAAATAAATAAGTTAAAATTTTAATGTTAATAAATATAAAGAGTGATCAAGGAAAGACACTTGACTCCACCTCCACTTCACACACAGGTGCACACACACACACACACACACACACACACACACACACACACACACAGAGAGAGAGAGGGAGAGAGAGAGAGAGAGAGAGAGAGAGAGAAGGAAAAACAATTTACATTTGGGGGAAATTGAATGACAAGTTTAATTCTAATCTGAAGTCATGAGGTTGGAAGGAAATATTATGAGTGCCAGCAA